GTGGACGCGCCAGGTAGCCTGCAGCTTGGCTAACGGGTAACCCTCCTTTCCCAGGTAGCCCGCCTTCCATGTTAATGTCAAAGTCTCATAACGACTGATCGAAAACAGCTGTTTCCCATAGGTACGATTTAAAATTCTAAATCGTATTTTTGAGAGGGCTTACCACAAATTCTCATGTCTTGTATGTATTCTGCAAGAGTCGGCACCTTCATAAGATATGATGCTCGGACAAAGATGTCTAAAAAACAATTAGTAATTTAGTAGTCAGCGGGTTCATCTGTTGAACTGTTGCACATAAATCTTGCTATTCTATAGGCCTCATTAAGCCTTTTTCTCGAAGAGTATGAAAGTGCTCTCAACTTAACTACATATGTAGTTGCACCAGTGAATCTACTTAATTGCGTAGCTTCAAGGTGTAAAGGATATCAGTTTCCAGCAGCCTTTCATAATTTCGTTGGATGGTTCCGATAAAGAAACAGCATGCGATTAAGAAGGTAAATCTGCACACTGTCTAAAACATTATGCTTGATACCGACTTTACTAATTCTCATGATTACGTCATGTTACTCATCAACTGTTGGTCCCAGACCTCTGCGGTACAACTAGACCAACAAAAATCAGTTGTCAGTAAAATTCCCACATGCACTCGTCTCTACGGGGTCACAAGCCATTAGTGCAGTATGACCTGCGGTAATGTCAACTCATCCTCTGAATGCTCACTGAATGACCCCGGGTCATGTATTGTTGTCCAGACATCTGTTTACCCTCATTAGCATGTTTATTGTACTGTCATAAATATGAATCGGTCGTTGTAAGTTCGATGTAAGGCCATTGTGCAACCTGATGGACTCGCGACGAACAAACTAACATGCTGATGCAAAATTTACAGGACTGGCTGTGCATAACCGCACATAAAGTCATGACCTGGCTTCGATCAGTTGGTAGGAAGAGATTCCTCAGATCTCAGCAAGCGATGTGCTTATCGTTTTTTCGGCAAGCTGGCTTGCATGTTGATCATGTGATCCGCCGGTGGAGTTCCGAGCTCCTTATTTGCCCTCAGGCTAGCATAACTTTGGTGCTCAAGTTTATGATCAGGCAGTCACGATGTCATCGTAATTTTGCGTTTTCTTCTACGTGTCACCACGTAGAGGGTATACGGTCATCTCAAACCTAGATTACGTATAGTACGGCCGAGACTGTTTCTGGGAATACAATACTCCTTTTATATATCTGGCATTCTCCTTCCACAGCGGGCTAAAATGGAACGGTTGAGTGATTTGGACCGATCAACAAGTCTTCAACCTCTTCTCTCGCCGGCATGTGGTTGGCATATAGACACAACACATCGTTCTGGTGACGCCATCAAACAACAGTTCATCTTCAAGAATTTTGACCGCGCTTTCGACTTTATGACAGCGGTCGCCGAGAAGGCGAAGCTCCTGAACCATCACCCAGAGTGGTTTAATGTGTACAATAAGGTGTGTGTAAATCTGTGTCTAACTTGTTAACCACTACATCTGAGAAGATTGTAACGAATCTCATTTAGCTTGGTCTGATGCTTTGTTGGTCTGGCAATTTTTGTGCATTCCCCTTTTCTTCCTAGGTGGAGATTACTCTGACCACTCATGATGCTGGTGGCCTGTCAAAAAAGGATATCGAATTGGCCACCTTCATTTCTGAGCAGGCCCGTAATTTTGGTGCTAAACCTGCTGCGAGCTGAACTCCCTAGCGAGCATGG